AAAGCACATATACATGCCCGTCTGAAGTTTACCAATGAACATCTGAATGATTCAGAGGACAACTGGGTGAAAGTGTTGTGGTCAGATGAGACCAAAATGGAGCTCTTTGGCATCAACTCAACTCGCCGTGTTTGGAGGAGGAGGAATGCTGCCTATGACCCCAAGAACACCATTCCCACCGTCAAACATGGAGGTGGAAACATTATGCTTTGGGGGTGTTTTTCTGCTAAGGGGACAGGACAACTTCACCGCATCAAAGGGACGATGGACGGGGCCATGTACCGTCAATTCTTGGGTAAGAACCTCCTTCCCTCAACCAGGGCATTGAAAATGGGTCGTGGATGGGTATTCCAGCATGACAATGACCCAAAACACACGGCCAAGGCAACAAATGAGTAGCTCAAGAAAAAGCACATTAAGGTCCTGGAGTGGTCTAGCCAGTCTCCAGACCTTAATCCCATAGAAAATCTGTGGAGGGAGCTGAAGGTTCGAGTTGCCAAACGTCAGCCTCGAAACCTTAATGACTTGGAGAAGATCTGCAAAGAGGAGTGGGACAAAATCCCTCCTGAGCTGTGTGCCAACCTGGTGGCCAACTACAAGAAACGTCTGACCTCTGTGATTGCCAACAAGGGTTTTGCCACCAAGTACTAAGTCATGTTTTGCAGAGGAGTCAAATACTTATTACCCTCATTAAAATGCAAATCAATTTATAAAATTTTTGACATGCGTTTTTCTGGATTTTGTTGTTATTCTGTCTCTCACTGTTGAAATAAACCTACCATTAAAATTATAGACTGATCATTTCTTTGTCAATGGGCAAACGTACAAAATCAGCAGTGGATCAAATACTTTTTTCCCTCACTGTACACAGTAGCCTAATTTTAAAAAGGAAACCTTCAATTATATAATTACTGTGCAGTACTGTACTTATTTCATTATATATTCACAGGTTGACTAATAGTTGCCCTGGTGGTGCAGTGATGGTGCCCATCTTCTACATCAGCGGGTTGTGAAATTCAAATGTAAATGAGAGGCTAACTCAGGCCATCATCTTTTCAGTGGCAGCCAAATTAAGTGCTATTTTATCAGCGACAAATGCTATCCTCTAGCTCGGGACCAACATCCGTGATGAGCACAAACTGATGCTCATTAAATTGGCGGATACCAGACTCATGGAGGAGTTTGATGAAGTCCATGGCTAAAATCCCACATCTATCATACTTCTCATACAATCTGTTGTATATTTGCACTCTACGCAACAACATATGTTAGGGCAATAACTAGTGTCATTCGCATCTCAAAACAGATTGGACCTTGGAACCTCCCTCCAGACTATTCAGTATACTCAATGTAAGCAATGTTTTGCAATAACCTCTGACACATGCACCACTGTGCTCTGGCTGACAGACCGTCAATAATCGATTCTCTTCATGCACTCTAGATGTGTTGATTCGTGCTTGTATGACTTGGACGCTTTCCATCGGTATATGTTATATGCAAAAGATTAATGTGAGCCCTGCAGCCACTAGAGGCAAATAAAATCTATTATTTAATCAAACTGTGTTCCTGAACTAAGGAGGGACCGGGGTGCTAAACTATTACTCTTGACAACACTAGTAGTCATCTTAAAGATCATCAGCCAATAGCTAGCCACTGCTGGATAAAGGGCTCCCATATGCCATCAACCAACCCTCAGTGTCACGTGATAGAACAATCCATCTCGCTCCTGCACGACGAGGCAAGAATTCTGCCGACTTAAAACGCCAGGCTCTCTCTGTTGATTGCAGTGTCCCCAACGCAAGTGCCCCTAGATTGGCAACAGCGCCGAGACGTCAAGCATTGTTCCATGCATGCAAAGCTACCATCTTATCTCAAACCGGCACCAAGGGCATGTGACAATTGCGACAGACGCACTGTGCTGCCGCGTGGCTATTTTTAAAGAAAGAAGACAACCCGATATCCCCACATGGGAAGCGAGTGCACTCACCCCTATCGTGCCCTTCTTTCCCCGCTGACCCAGCATGCACGGTCCCATTCCCTCGACCATGCCGAGCCCACACATGGATTAACGCAGATGCGAATAGTAAGAGAGATCACCAAAAACAGCTGACACATGCCGGCATATTTAAAAAAAACAGTGCATTGCACACAATATATAAGTGGAAGAGTAGGCCAAACTACCCTTAAGAGGAGCTTTCGAGCTTCCTCTAATGGAGGCTCTTTTGCCAGCAGAGGTAATTTCAGGGCTACACCTTTAGTTTAGACACGGAGATACACAGACAGCCACACAAGCAGAGAGAGACAACACAGAGACACAGAGAGAGACACACAACATAGACACACAGAGACTATGTTGTGTGTCTCTCTCTGCTTGTGTGTCTGTCTGTGTGTCTCCGTGTCTGTGTTTTGTCTCTCTCTCAAATTTAGTTCGACCTGATGACGATTGCTTGTGTTGCAATCGAAATGTGTGGCTCAGAATCAAACTTTGGTTGCTGGGTTCATGGTGCAACACAAACCACTGCTGCAACGCTCACCATAGTTACACACACACACTATGTGAAAAAAAACCGACCTGACAGTAGGATTATTGATAAGCCTTGAAGTTAAACGATTTTTGATTACGACCACATTGAAATACAAACAATCAAGTGGCGAGTTGGTGTATACTTTCAACACCACATTCGCACAACGTTGACCGACTCTTGTGTATGTAACTGTATGTTTGGATAGGCGCCTAAGTACATATATTTATTTGACATGGAAAATTCATTACGTATATAAACACACGCATACACAACCGTAACATGTATGTGGAACAACCCACCCTAACGCAGAGAGCGAGCTGTGTAAGCACGCACCAGTCACACTGTTACATTAAAACAAAATCGCCACTCGTCAGCATCAACAAACGCCACTGCCCAGTGGACACACTGGGCACAGTTTTGCTCCCGTGCAATTACCCGGCTATTTTTAGGCATTAAGTGCGACGACTGCCTGCCCACTGCGAAAGAAGTAAACATTCCGTCTGTCAGAGGGGGCCTTCAACCCACACAATGTTCACTGCCTGCGCGGATCACAAGAGCCAGGCAAAGAGCCGACACCACTCACCAGGCCATCCACAAACCACTCACTCACCCCAACACGCCACCACCGCTGCTCCCGATTCTAGACTGTTACAGAGAGCTTGGTCTCACACACTAATGATGTTGCCATGGTATTATGACTGTGGTGTGTTGTTCGAGATTATCTTCAAGGGGTAATGGGTTTTTTTTTAAAAAAAATATTCTGCAATGGAAGAGCGACGTCACCCATAACGAGGAGTCGGACAACTTGCGGCTCGAGCAGCAATGTGGCTCTTTAAGCACCGCTTCGTGATGTTATGTATGAAGGACCATCGTCTCGTATTCACATGCATTACATTTTTTTACCGATATTTGAATGGCTCTTCTTGTTATTTTGGTTCCCGTACCCTGTCCATAACCATTGACCGCATACCGACGTCAATCTTTACACGAATACTGCACGCAACGAAGTTCCTTTGCATACAAATGACACTCAGGGCACCCTCGAAAGCGCACACTTCCATTAACTCTACGACGACTTCATTATTGTGTACTCGAGCCCCATAATATGAATTTGTCAACAAGCGAGACAAATAAATCGTCGGGTAAAACATTATTTAAAATGTCAAAACGGACTATTTGACTGGGATGATCTATTAACGGCGCTGATAACACGAGGTGCTTACAAACTGCTCGTCCCGTATATGCAGAACAGCGATAACATGGAGGGGATGGGGGAACACTCCTCATCCTATAGCACACCACCATCAGTGATGTACTGTTATTGACAAGACACGAAAGACATTTTAACAACACTTCATGTAACTGAAGTTTGCCTTGCATTAACCCACGCATCTGAGAAACACATTCACAATTTCTACGGTCCCAAAACAGGTGGAAAAAAAAGTCATCGAAATAACACAGCCCAAGTGAAACTGGCTATCAACGGTGAAACAAGGGCATCTCATTTAACCCCACACACAGGGAGCAAGGGAAGCTCTCTTTCAGTGAACATCAACTCAGGCTAGTGTGTGAGAGACACACGAAGGGGGAGGGTTAATGAAGCCAGCATCTCATGTTTTTGTCTGCCTAATACAAGTGTTCATTACCACACAGACACAATAGAGGCAGAATGTGAATCATGAAAAGCAACGTACCAACAATGTTGGCTAAAGAAGAATGTGTTTAATCGAGTACAAAGTAGATCACCTGCTGTGACATTGTGGATCAGAAAGGCTGGATAATTGACGAAATAAGATGGAACACAATATGAAAGCGTGGAGTGGTGCGTGATTGGGATTACTGAGAGATTTCGAGGCACACACAAGACACATTAGAGACATCATGTGGAATTGGTAGCACGGTTGGCTACGTACGATGCGAAAGAAGTTCAACAGGGGAAAACACGTCCCAAGAAAAGATGACGAGCAAGGAAGGATCAAGCCTAACCAAGGGAGTGACAGCCAAAGGAGGGAGGGTACGTGCCCGACAGGATGTTCGCCACGGAGATGGAGCAATGAAACCAGCGAGTGTACAGGAACGAGACGCACGGTGACATCGCAAGACTGAGGGATGGCCTTCAGCAATGGCTATCATCGTGGCTGATGATCATGATGATGTTCAGGCCAACAACTTGGTAAAGTCCAAGCAAGATTACAACTTGGGACACTAATGACTGGTGACAATGTACACCATCACGGGCAGGAACGAACCCTAGGTCGCCGGGGTCATTACAGCCCACATGGCAGCACGTAGACAGCGGTCACCGTTTCACCGACCACGCACCCACTGCTAAGTGAATAAATCACTCAGACACACTCACACGCTGCATCACGTACAGAAACATCATCGAGAAACGTGACACCCCCGTCCGTGGCTTAGCCGCACACGCCGCCGATAAACTCCCCAAGCCGGCGTCACCCCAAGTCCACAACCCACCTTGGGCAATCGACCAGCACGCGGGGGGCGACTCTTCACCTCGTTCACGGGAAACTCCGCAGAGAAGCGGGGCCCCCCCCCCCCCCCACACCACCACCACCTCCTTCTCCTCCTCGGATTGTTGGAACCCACTTCCAACAACGGAGAGAGTTTGACGACTGGCCGAGTGTGGCACTAAACGAACTCGAGAAGACGAAAGGAAGGCGGCGGCAGCGGCGGTGGTGGTGGTGGTGAGAGGCGGGCCGGGCTGGTGGTGGGTATGGAATTTGAATCTGTAACAGCCGCTCCCCGTTTGAAACAACAAGAGTTTGTCCTGCCTACCCGGTACAGGCGAGTCCCTGCGTTGTGCGCAAGGCGCGGCTGCCCCCGGCTGCCCTCGGGCACCCTCCACCTCCGCTTAACCTTGGGCAGTCATCGCCCGCTCCCCCGACAAGCACCACCGCTCAGCCCTGAATGAGAGAGGCTCGCACGACGCCGTCCGCTGGGTGGTGGTGGTGGTGGCTGTGGGGGGGGGGGGTTGGTGACGCCCACCCCCCACGTCTATCCGTTAGGGGGGGGGGGGTACCACGAGGGGAGGGGGGGCGCCTACTACCTCCCCCACTTGGAAGCAGACGCGCTCACCAACAACAACACACACAACAACTTCGCACCGCAGAGCGCGCGCGCGTGTGTGTGTGTAACTCTCAACTCTTTTACGCTGTAACTATAAAAACAAACACGTCCTACACGCTCGAAGCCACGAATCGACGGCAACTCGCAGCGTGCTTTCTGTTGGTGTTGGTGAGAAGCTGCGTGCGTTTTGGTGTCCGTTTTTTTGTTACCGTGCCTTGGTTTTCCCCATGGCTACGGGGGGGGGGGAGAGGAACGCAAAAGGGATGCACCGTGAATTATTTAGATGCGAGAGCAGTGGAGGGAGGGGGGGGGGGCAGACAGAAGCTGACTGCAGCTGCTGTTGATGCTGGCACCACGTCATTGTAAGAGAACACCGGACCCCCCCCCCCACCCGTGTCCCTGCCAAAATTGGTCTCTTCCAAGAGAGGGCCGGACCCTGGTAGCCTGCCAGGTGACATCACTGCTCTGGGCCCCATTGGCTGCGAAAGCGAGCGGGGAGGGCTTCGTTTTTCAAAACGGCATCCTGGGGCGCAACAAGCGAATAGAGTCCCAGACCAGACCATCTCTGGGGTAGGACGCAACAACGGGATGCCAAGAATTCATCCCACAAGGCACTGGAAAAAAAGTAAACATTAACCATGGATTGAATTCCAGAATTGATCAAATAGTTCTTTGTACAGTATTTCTCTTTTTTTTTACTTCCACCTAATATTTTTGTAGAACAGAGGAAAAAAAATAGACCATATGAAAAGCATAATAGAATAACAATAGATTAATAAGTTCCTTCATAGTTGTTTTTATTTTAAGTGTCGTTGGATAACTACCTGAAGATGGACATGTTTCAAATAAGGCTATGCTTTTTTATATTGTGGTTCTCAAAAGATGACCACTCCTTAGCGGCTATTTTTGAGCTATTTAAAAAAACACAATCACAATGACTAAATATTTTTTTGCCTTTTTTTTTAGAGCATTACAGTGGCTTATTGGCTTAGTGCAACCCCTGCTGAGATGCCAGCAGGGTGACCCAGTAACCTGAAACTAAGTAAACGGCCGCTGAAATGAGCAGTTGTCCTGAAGCATTTCCTTTGGTGCTTTCTATCACGCCAACCTTAATGCTTGTGCTAGCACGGAGATGGGAAATCACGTGGGGGGCGATAAGACTGCATACGTCGTGAGTGTCACTGAATGGCTTATCAAGTCAAGGTTATGAAGGCATTCTTGGCCAAGTGTTATCTGCAGCATGTTGAAAATTCAATAACATTTGAAGTCCTCCAAGTCCACGAGGCAGTGCGATAAGAACGGAAATATTTAAAACAAAACAACAAAAAACACAGTCGAAGAAAAGCACCACACTCCTAACTGCACAATGAATTTCAATGAGCAGTTCATTTAAAAAGGGACCATATTTAATCTGGAATATGTATAGCATAGCATTGAAAGGATTGCCAGCCAAGCACAGAGAAAGTATTTAACGAACAATCCTGCAGGGCTGAGTCAATACAGACATGTGATTCCAGCCCAGTTTCCCATGACTACACAACCTCACCACATTAACTTTGCTTTTTCTCTTAATGTGGCCAATTTATAGTTCTGAAAATTACAAATATTGATTTAACGAACATCCGACGAACAGTTCCGATAGAAGAGTTGGTGAAAAGGACTGTTCCACACCAATGATAAGAGGTTACTTGCGGGGATTTCAGAAGCGGTTCTGCATTATCTCCTTCCACGGGCCGTTCTCTAACAAAGGGCAATGCACTGCTTTACGAGCGTCCCGAATTAATTCTTCATCTCACGACACCAAGGCGACAGCACAAACAACATAACATTTGGGAAAAGTAAAAAGAGACTCAAACATTATTGGTTTCAACCATGAGGCAGAGCAGGTGAAACATTATCGACACACTGCACGTGTTACTTACCGTGTGCCAATGCAAACGATGTCTAATTACAAACATTAGACTGCAAACTTATTTTTTTTAATAATGCATTTACAAATAAATAAACAAGGTGACTCAAAAGGAGCAAACGCAAAACTTGGGAGAGAAAAACGCTGCACGTAGCATTTTTTTTTACCAAAACGAAACTAAAAAATAAGTTACGTTACACAATTTTTTTGAATACTTAAAAAGGCTTGTGAAGTCTTAATCGATTACTTTTGGAAAAATAAAATAACTTCTTGTGCAAATGTCACGGAGGCCAAATAGGTGCGTCACTGCCACCCACCCCCCAGTGCTCGCCTGATTTGGCCGATTAAAAATCAACCCGAGGCGAGTCGGATGACAGTCAGTGTACCAGCCCAAAGCCTCGACTTGCTCCACAGGAAAACTTGTTCACCCTGTGTGAGCACTGCCACGTCTTTAATTGGCACCTGTACCTACTAATCTGCTAAGGGGATTAAAATGTGTTACTTTTTTTGTTACAAGTTAATATTGGAACAAATTATTTAAAATGTTTTATTACATCTATGGCGAGGTTGTATAAACGACGATCACAAATTAAATTCACCATCCTGTGCCCGTCATACCAAAAGAAACAAAAACCCTGTTTTGGTTTTTAATACTTTAACAAAACGCTGTATTCGCATCCGCTCATTATTTCACGAGGCTTTTACCGACAAAGCGCACGTTTCCACCCTTGCAGCCAGAAGCAGAATTCTTTATTTATCACGGAGGAATCCGATGAGCTTAAAAGCTCTCTTTCACAGATGCCCGTTAAGGGGCGGGTCAGAAAGTTACAATACAAAAAAACACAATAGGTGTGCAAAGTATAGAAAAGGCATGAAAATCAGACGTCTAAATGAGTACAGCACAGTTGGGCAAATAGCAGGGCACGTGCATTGTGGTAAAGCGCGGGTACTCCCACCTCTTCTTAGACGTCTGATCAGCGTGGAAGAGTAGGCTGAAAATGCTCTCAAAGGGGCTCTCTTGAGCTTCCTATAGTGGAGGCCTTTCTGCCAGTAGTGGTGTGAGCAATACGTTACGATGGCTTCTAAAGTCTCACTCATCCGTTAAAAAAATGCTTCACTTAAAAAAAATGTTAAATCACACTGCCCTGTCACCTGTTTATACAAGTTACAGATTGGTAAATGAGTTACCTTGTTAAACAATTTTACCCAAGCAACGTACCCTTGGATGGTGCACTGGCATAGCGGTTAGCACACTGGGCCATGAACCCAGCAATCTGGGTTTCGAATGCCAGCAACGGCTAACATCAGTGACGGTCCAGGAACATCCACCCCTTTACCAACAAGCACTGAGCAGCATTGTAAAGTCAAAAATTCCCGCAAGTGACATGACACGTGGCATGGGGAACCTTCATCTAGCAGTGTATTGACACAGGTCTGCACATCAGACAATGTACAGTACCAAGGCAAATCCAATCACAGTGTCAAATTGATGTCTGCTGACCTCTGGTGATCAGGCTGCAAATTGCAGACATCAAAATGAGTATTTAACAAGGCCAAACAACACCCTTCCCCTGCATTCCTGTACAGAACGGGCTTGCGTGAATCATTAAAGACTCACATTTAATCTGAATGTCATGCTATTATTTGCGTGCATTTTCAAATAACTCTGGGACTTTTTTTCCGATTCCCAAACTGCCCAAGACGCTTATTGACTGCCCAAAAGGTCAGCAACCACTGAGCAGAGAGGGGGTGGGGTGGGGAAGTAAATAGCGAAATCTCAGCACGAAATATGAAAGGTAAAACATCAATTGTGCCGACCTATGGAGAGAGGTAAGACATTCAATTGGTGCCTTTGGAGATAGCTGTTGCAAACGTCTCTGACCAAAGATACATATTTAGGCGTGCCAACCTCACAATAGAGGCCCACGTGAGCAGCAAGCACATGGTCGACCGCAATTTCAGTGATACGCACTGCAGAGCCAAAGGAATACCGGTAGTGACACATTTATGAAATATGATCGATGTAAAAATGCTTTACCTCGGCAATCCTTGACGACTTGAAGGGCAGCATACTGTATCTCAAAAGGTTACTGCTACAGCCAATCGACTGTGTGTCCTTGGATTTAGCACACTTACAACAAGAAACGAACACGGCTATAACAGAGTGCCATTTAGGCTGCATCACACGGTAATTAGATGCAGGTGTGGAAGCTTGGTTTAAAAAAAAAACATGTATATGAACTAAAAACAGTATGACGTCAGTATGCTAATGCAAGTATTTTTTGTTAGGTAGATAATGTTAAGCGATACGTGCTATACGACCGTGTGTGACCCAACTAAAGTTAAAACATTCATAAATATAGCTGTTCATTTATAAGCATCGGTGTTATGCAATAACATATTATGTCTGTGTGCCACCAATATGTCAGGAGCCACAGACTGGATATAAACACATTTAAATATACAAACCCATCGCGATATCCATGTGTATGTTTTTTTTCATTACTACCAAACGGAAGTTTCGAGAGTGTGCATTTCAAAACAGATATAAACTCTTGAATTTGTTTTGTACTCTAGTTGAAAACCAAGTTGACACAAATCACAGATGGAAGATTTTTGCAACTTGCCAACGGACGGGTAATCATCGCTGTTGGTGCTGCTCTAAATGTACCCATCCGAGAATGATATAGCGATGCATCAACCCTGACCTTAAATTGAACTCACAGTCTTGAGAGGAGACCAACTGTTCCACAAATTAATCCAACCTTGCCAATTCTCAGTTTCCTACCAGGTTCAATCGACGGGAATCCCGGCAACGCCTCCTAACCAAGCAATGTCAATACATATCCAAGATTTGTAGCAGCAGTAGCACGCGAGGCAGGGCCATAAGGTTAATTGAATGAATGACGTTACAGCTCATTGCAAATCTCATGAACTTGACAGGCAACGCCGGATATTGGGCAATGGGCCTGGACAGTCAGC